AGTCACGTCCAGAGCCTGAGGCCAGACCTGACAGACCTCCCCTGGCTAGATCTACTTCACTGTCTACTTCACGGAAGAGAATGGTGTCACTGAAGGCGGAACCAGGTATAAGGGTGACCCAGTGACGGCTCCTGACTCTATAGTATGGGTCTCAACCCTACCTCCTGGGACTTCTGTTCAAAAAGCTAAATTATTTGCTTTGACTCAGGCCCTAAAACTGACAAAGGACAAAATTGCTAACATCCACAGACACCCGATACGCCTGTATATACAGAAAGGGGACTGCTCGTGACAGAAAGATTATCAAAAATAAAGACAGATTTGGGGCCTATTAGAGACACTATGGCTACCCCTCAAGGTAGTCATCGTCCACTGCCCAACAATAAATGCTCAAGTTAAACTCATGTGAAAATGAATCTATGGTCCAGTTGATGATTCTTAAACAACAATATCAGACCATAGAGACTCAAGGATTTGAGATGGGCCTTTCTCAAGGAGGGAATGAAAGGACAATATAAACTCTATCTCCATTTAAGGACCCCATTTGTCTCTGTTTTAAGGACCAGGCCTGATTTCAAAAAAAGGCCATAAGACACCAGCTTCAGAAATAGACCGTAAGTCCCAGAAACTAAGTCATAAGACACCAGCTCTAAGAACAGGCCATAAAATCCAGAACAAGATCATAAAGCCCGCTCCCAAAGAACAGCCTAAAAATGGAGAAATACCTCAAAATGAGCCATCTACACTGGACAGACCAATTTCATCATATGACTTAAGAATGTAGACCTCTGACCACCTGTGAGTACCTAACACCTACCAGTAAAATTTTAGGTTACCTAATCCTTCCAGAGAGTTTCTATGATTCCCTGTAAAATGGCCAGTGTGCCTTTGTCTGGGGTCGCCATTTTAAAGAATGGTTGACTCCCATATGCTGGTTGTTTCTACAGAATAAACACTCTTTCTTTTTACATACTATCTGTCTTAGGGTTTTATTGCTGTGAACAGACATCATGACCAAGGCAACTCTTATAAGGGATAACATTTCATTGGGGCTGGCTTACAGGTTCAGAGGTTCAGTCCATTATCAAGGTAGGAACATGGCATTATCCAGGCAGGCATGGTGCAGGAGGAGCTGAGAGTTCTACATCTTCATCTGAAGGCTGCTAGTAGAATACTGACTTCCAGGCAGCTAGGATGAGGGTCTTAAAGCCCACGCCCACAGTGACACACCTACTCCAACAGGGCCACATCTTCTAATACTGCCACTCCTTGGGCCAAGCATATAAAAACCATCACACTATCTGAGTCTGGGCTCTCCTTTCAGCAATTTTTGGATCCTTACAGTTGATGGAACTGTTTTGGGAAGGAAAAGGAGATGTGGCCTTGTTGAAGGAGGTATGTCACTCAGGGTGGTCTTAGAGGTTTCAAAAACCAATGCCAAGCCCAGTACCACTCTCTCTGCCTCAAATTTGTGGATAAGATATAAACTTTTAGCACTCCAGTGCCATGCCTGCCTGCTGCCATGCTTTCTGTCATGATTATCATGGACCAACTCTCTGAAACTGTAAGGAAACACAAAATTACATTGCTTTTATAATTTGCCTTGGTCATGGTGTCTCCTCATACCAAGGGAAGAGTGACGAGGATACCAGGTATTCTAGTTTCCTTTCTCTCACTGATAGGACACTTCGAACCAAAGGGACTATGGGCAGAAAGGGTTTATTAGTCTTAACATTGAGGAAAGTCGAGGTAGAAACATAAGGCAAGAAATTGAAAGCAGCCTTGTTTGCTGCTACACACACCATTACCTCCATCTAGGGAACTCACAACTGTGGCTGGCCCATGCTTGGCTTTCTTACATAGCCCAGGTACCACCTGCCCCAGGAATGGTGCCACCCACAGTAGGCTGACCCCCAACCTACATCAACTGACAAGATAATCTTCCACAGCCATGCCCACAGGCCAATGTGGTCTAAATAATCCCTCCCTTGGATCCTTTTCTCAAATGGCTTTAGGCTGTGTCAAGTTGACAGTTAAGTCTGTCCAGAACAATACAAATCTTAGGAAAGCTGTGGGAAGAAAGGTGGTAGGGGATACTTAGCCCACACCCTTGCCTAGCACCACTACTGGACAAAGCACTACGTGGACACTTGGGATAAAGACAAACCACACCTAGCTCCTGTAGAAGTTGTAAGACGACATTGGTTCCCCATCTCAGAGACAGTTCCTGACATAAACAAGTTGGAGAGAGTTGGCTTGGGCTTTCCTAGGTATCAGTCCCCCAGGGTGGAGATGATATGGTGAAACCAAATAATTGGAAGCAGGAAAGAGTATTGGAAGGGGCTGGGAAAGACAAGGCTGGTAGGCCATGTCTCAGGAATACCAAACCAGGCCCAACTGTTACCTTTCACCAGCTGCCAATGCTGCTATCTTCTTAAGAGCCTATCAAGAAACTGATATCCATTCAGAGCCCTTCTGATCTGTCTCCAGAAACACCAGCATAGATATAAAGAATGCACTTTTCTAGTCAGGATGCTTCTCAAGCCAACCGAGTTTTAAGGTTATTCCAAGAGAAGACAATCAAAATCTGGTGTGACAACTTACAGAATACAGTAAGTCCCCAAGTAGGGGGTTAGTGAGAACAAAAGCCAAGTGACTTACAGCTGAGGATACGTGTCAGGCAGTACAGACAGACAACCCGGGGTGCTTACTCACTTTGAGGCTTGAGGAAAGGCAGTGCACCAGGCAAGACAACTGCAAGAGCATCACAGACAGTAGGAATCGTGTGTAGAGATCAAACCAGCCTCAGCAGACTAAGAAAACACAGGAGGGCAGCTAGCACATCAGATACATGTTGGGAAACCCTGCTATTAAGGTCTGTCATGGCTGGACAGCTCGGCACAAAATGGACTCTCTTCTTCAGCATGCTTTCCTCTGCTCTGTCTGACCTTATCTGGGGAGCCCAACTCCCACATCCTCTACCTGAGGAATGTCACCTAGTCCTAGGAGAAATTACAGGTTCAACTTCCTTTCTCCTGATAAAAACCTGCACAACAAGCGCCTGGAATGCTTCTCCATGCAAATGAGGCATTCTCAGTACCTTAAGGCCCAGCCAATGTACATTCACCTGAAAAAAAACCCTTGCCGCCCTCGAAGATTTATATAGAGTCCTTGCTCCCTGTTCAACTCCCGAATAAAATATACATGCACAAGCTGTCTCACCGATTATCATTCAAGAAGGTTTTTTCTTGAAGTACCTTCTAAAAGATCAGTACCACTAAAATCCTTGCTTCCTCCCCCCTAGCATTCACAGCTGGAACGAGGTTCTGCTGACCAACCCATTCTGGGCTCCTTCATCCTTTTCCATCCAGGTGTATAGCGGCATTTGGACACCCCAAGAACAAGCAGAACATGTGGAACCCCGGGTTCAGGCAACATTCCCCATCTCAAGTGAGAAAAAGCTAGCTCATATTCAAAGACAGACTGGTAAAAGCAGAGAGGGGGAGCACAAGTGTGGACAGGGCTACTTCACTGTAGCCGTCGTTATTCTGATTTTATCATTTGATTACCGATACTGTGCCCGGCACTGAATACAGTCAAGTACGAATGCCCCATCACATGACTTTTTGGGAGGTGCTTCTGGGGCTTTGTTAGTAAGTAATGGCAGAGGCTGGAGGCATAAATGACTCAGCCTGACATAAGGCTAGGGGCCATGGGATACTGTGTGTCTAGGAAGTAGTTATGCAAGACAGCTGCTGGAGCCAGCAGGATGACTTGATGGTAGAAAGCATTGCCACGCATGTGGGACAACCTTGAGTTTTGTCCCCAGAACCCACATCAAGGTAGAGGAGAGAACTGACTCCACAAATTGTCCTCTAACTACTATACATAGACCACAGGGCACAAGAGCAAGCAAAAGAAAGTTGTTTTTTTTTTTAAATAAAAAAGATGTGTGAATCACTGTGCTTTCTGAACAATTTCTATTTCATACAATAATATCATTTTCTCTTTTTTTTTTTTAGGACAAATGTTTAGTAATTAGGAGTTATGTTGGTTTAATAAGGTGGTGATTTGTAGGTCCTCCTCCAACAGTCTTGACTTCATGAGCACTGAGCAGTTAGCTAGGATTCCAGTACTAGGCATTGTTTCCCGCTTGTTACGTGGTCCAGGTAGAGAGTTGGTGGTTACTGCTAAGGCAGACATGCCACTACTGCACCCTGATGCCACACTGGCCATTGTTGTGTAGCATAGGCTTCACAGTTGGGTAAGACTGTTGGTTGGGCACTTCCTTTGGAAGCTTGAATGATACCTTCTGGTACCATGAAAGCCAGTCCTCAGGGAGTGGGCATCCAGGTTAGCTCCAGCTCAGGAGCCTCTGTGTCTGGTGTTCAATCAATGGCTGAACATGTTCAACAACTGGTCTGAAGTGCATTGTGGTTTCAGCAATGGGCACTTACCTTTCACCTCTAGGGGACAACTTGAAAACCATCTCTGGATTTGAAAATCAAAATTACCGGACATAATACAACCCATTTGTGCTATGCATCCTTCATGTGTGCAGAGAAATTGGGTTCTTCAAGTGCCTTCAGCTTGTTTGTTTGAGATATGACTCATCATCATACAGCACGGGCTAGCCTGGGACTCATGGTGTAGTTGAGGATGACTTTCAACTTCTTGTCCTTCCTGCCTACTGGGCTTATGGGCTGGGAAGGGCAACTGCCACCTTCAGCCCAATGACACCATCAAACCTTCTCTAAAGAGAAAACCACCCAGCATTAACCACACTCCTTCAAGCTCTAAAGCAATGTCCATTGTACTGCAGCAGCATAACAATCTTACAAGAGGAATCAAAGCATGTGCTTCAAAGAAAGCTGACCAGGAGTGTCAGATTAAACACATTTTCCCAAAGAAATATCACATTTTCAAAAATACAACTAACTGCTAATTTCAAAATTTTATTCTAATTCTAAAAATATGAATAAAACAGAATCAAAACTTGGTTCTCTTTAAATATTTTATTTCTTCAGTAGGCCAAGCTAGTTTTTCATGCCTAAAATATGACAAACTAGAACATATTTTAAATAGATGGTTTAAAAGTTTCTTGCTAATCTTTATTCATGAAAATAAGCAACTCAGTCATTAGCAGTGAGCTCATTCGCTGTGATGGTGTATAGACATTTACACACTAAGACTTTGGCATTTATGACGATACAGGTTTTGCGTTGCTAACCAGGGCAAAGTTGCATCTTCAGCTTTACTGTAATCTTAATACTTTGGAGTTGCTGCATTGTATCTGCAGATGAGAAGCAGACCTATCACAATCACCTTTCAAAGCTGCACAGCCCGTTTTTGATACTTGGGTTGAGCACAACTGCATGATGCTACTTTCCAAGCAAACCGCAGAGTTAACTGGAGTAGCTGTGAGAGCGGTTTGGATGGAGACTGAAAGAGGAGGGGAGCACAAGGTAGGAGCTACTCCTTACGAAGTAATTTTAATAGTTTGAAATCTTTCACAAAAACTTACTAGAAAAGGAGATAACATCTGACAGAGATGAAAACAGTTCTCAGATCTGTCTACTAGCCAGCAGACCAGCACACTAGCTACAGACGCGGATCTTCCAAGAGTGTGTGGTAAGGACCAGCCAGCCAACCATGCGACAGTGCTAACCCTACAGATAGGTGCTGGTGAGGCTGAAGAGAGTGATGTACTCACGATTGCTCCACTGCAAACGCCTCCTAAGTCCTTCCCTACAGTTCCTTGACTTACATCCATCCGTGAGTTCTGTTTGAAATTCCTACCCATCTCTACACAGTCATCATATATGTACACCTATGTTAAAACATGCTCAATTGTTTTTAAAAGATGGTGCCTTTTGCTTGCAGTTGATTCCTTGTTATTGGTAATACTTAGATAAACTTCTTTCAAAAAGTAAAAGCTAAGGCATAAATCAGCATTTAAAATCAAAGTCTAGCTTTAGCTATGAAATGTGGAGACCAAATAAAATGTACTCATAGGCTAATGCCATTGTGAACATAAAAGGTTTTACATATACACATTTCTTTCTCCACAAAAATCTGCTTTAAATTGATTAATTCACTACTGGGCAAATGCCAAAATGCTGCATTTTAAATTTAAGTTGTTACAAAAACATAAAAGTGCAGTGTTAAAAACTAAGACAAAATAAATCCTTTGTACAGCTAAGGGTATATAAAGCAGGTATAAAATCTTGTTCACCAGAACAAAAAAACAAATTGCTAAAGAATATTACAGCCCTCCAAAAGCAGCAGAAAAACCCTCAGTCATGTTGTATTCTGATCCATTTTGTGTGTGTGTGCGTGTGTGACGGTCTGAGTGTGTGCTGCATGTGCTAGTGTTTTTTTTTTTTTTTTTGGCCTCACTATTCCCTATCTTCACTGCTCTATCTGAGACACGGTCTATTAGAGTAAGACCAACAACTCATGCCCTGGCGTTTGTTTGTAAGTGCAGCCGGCCTCCTGCTAATGAGGGGGAAGCAGGTGTGGCATGCCACACTGCTGGAGCACTGACACTGTGGTAGGGAGAATTCATATTTTCAGAAAAATGCGTCATTGAATATGAAACGTATGCATATCTACTAAAGGCATCCTGACAAAACCAGCAATGAAAAGTTTATGCCTATGAAATACCACACACTTTGTTCTATAAAACAGCCTCTAGGTTGACAGAAAAATATTCTAGTTTTCATAGTCAACTATTTCACACCTACGTGTCACTAGCAATTCCATGAGGATTAACAGACCTTTAAATGTGAGACTGAACAGTGCGTCTAGGAGTCAGCCAAACCAGACCAAGGAAATTCACTAACATTAAGACAGTAGCTTTAACCAATGTGTGATTAGTTTCTTTCCTGTTTATATTTGGTCTCTCTAAAGCGTTTCCTCCTTACTCTAAGCCTTCTGTTGATACAATCAATGCACAACGACAGCGCCCGCACTAGCAGGATCGTTTCAAACACACAAGCTCTAACAGACATACCCTAGGTCTAACAGACCCTAGGTCTGCTTCTGGTTCTTTAAGCTGCCAGTGTTGCTCACTGAACCAACAAACACTTGCTTTTGTTTATGACGCAAATGATCTGGATACAAACCAGTCACAAGTTATAAGACCTGAGGCTGTTAAAGCCTACCTCTTGCCTCAGAATCCTTAAGAGTATTTTACCAGATGGCATAAAAAAAAAATGAAACAGAAGCTTCTAAAGCAAAGCCCTATTATTCACAGTGTGAAATGGTTTGGAATGGATAATCAGACTCTTAAGGAGAAGCGTCTTTGGTGAATTAAGAATTGCACCAGTACAAGCTGCTTGCCCTCCTCTTCCAATCTAATTCAGCTTCTCCATGAAAACAAATTTCAAGGTTTTTTTCAGAAGGAGTGTAACATTCACATAAGCAAGTGATGACTCGAGTTACAGACAATCTAAAGCAGACAGAAGCCCGAGATGCTTAAGTTTACCAGGTACGCTCTTTGTTTAACGCTGGCAATAACTGAAAATCGTATAGATTATGAACTATATAGTGAGCATCTTGGTTTCAACATGGATTGTCATCACTGCTCTGTCAGCACAACAACTGAATTTCTATATTGAAGAAACATTCATGTGTAACACCTTCCTCTATTAAACACATAGAGCTCCTATAAATATGCCCCACATGAAACACTGATTTTACATCAAAGTGTCTTTCGATAACAATTTGCACTGAATAACAATAAATTATATTCATTGTTGTATAAATTGTTGAAAAAAAGTATTATAGATGTTTGCAAATAGTTATAGTAGTACAGAAAAATACATTGTTAAAATAGGACGAACAGATGAACAATGTATATCATAAAAAAAGGTTTTACAACCAAGCAGTACGAACATTCGGGGGTTTCGGTCTTAGCAAAAAGCCACTGGATGTTTCCAACACTGATCGATCAGTCTTACAACTGAGACCACTGGTTGCACTGGATGTCCTGGAAGCTCCTCCTGAACATAATACACAAAGATAAAAAGTGGTCAAATATTTGAATCAAGTACACAAGTCTTCATCTGATAAAGTTCATTTCCTAATTTAAGACTAGACTGGTTTTCCTTCCTCTTCCCAGATGCATCTAATACTCTAATGCAGTGGTTCTCAATAGACCTGTGCTTTAGAATTCCCTGTGGAGCTTACGGCTACTCATGTAAGTCAAGTGAAACACTTGGCATAACTATTTACGTTTACTTGACAAACATTTGGCTATGTTCAAGACATGGTACTAAATATCAGTTACCAGGACAAGACTGTATCTTAAGTCACTATAAATACCATGTTTTTAAATGAGTGAGATGACCAGTCAATAACTAAGTCACATGAGCACTGACAAATTACAGCCCTACTAGAGCTTCCAATTTTCTTTAGTAATGGCTTACAGTTTTAAGTAAAAATATAGTTTAGAATCCATCAGCTTCTGTGTCTGACTTTCTGTATGTTGTATACCTTGGCATTAAATTCCTAGATCTCTAGGGTAGAGAAGTGGCTAGGTCTTTAACTTATTACATATTTCACATTAAAAAGAATTACATCTTTAGTGTGTTAATTTTGTAAGGGTTACAAGGTACTAGCAAATGTTTACAATGGGCTAGAGAGAATGTTTCAGCCACATTCAAGCAGCCTAGCAATGTATTCTTTAAACACACATACTGAAACTAAAAGGCACTCCTGCAGTATCTGAGGAAATACTGTTATTTTCCCTCATTTTATCCTTTGGCTTTCTCTCTATGCTATCATTATATACATGCACATACATGTACATGAAGTACAAAATTGAGTGAAATGCAAAGATGTGTCAGTGAGAAATGAAATGCATTCTAAATGTTAGCATTTGAAATCTCTACCATATGAACATATATTACACTTTTTATTTTTAGAAAAGATAAAGGAGACAACCAAGTAAAAAATAGGTTTTGATATTCTTACTCAGTGGGCTATAATGGCCAAGAGTAGATCTCACTCGTCGGACGGACGGTGAAGGGTTGAGGTAACTCATATTCCGATGGTAGTCCATCAGCTGTTCAGAGCGTTTCATGCCAACTGTTGGCTTCACAGCTTCAAGCCGTTTCAATAAAGCCTTCATACAAAATATCAAAGTTAATACTAATTAAATACCAATGATTTCTAAAAACTCAAAAGATTCTACAACCTGAAATTCACTAAGGAAAAACAGTGTAAGAAATTTTTCTTACTTGGGTTGAAGAAGAACCTACACCCACTCTGACTATATTCTCATTATTTTCCCATATATCTACAGATAAGTGTAATCTTCTCTCCTCAACAAGGAAACTTTGCAACAGAGGAGATCATTACATAAAATTACAAGCACTCAGAAAGCAGAGCTGTGGAGTCCAGTCCTAACAATACATCTACACGACGACTCAAGGCTCAGGGAGCACGGATGGAGACGGGTTAGAAAGACTAAAGCCAGAAGAGTAGAGGCTCCGCTGAGAGACATCGTCTCCTATCAGTGTCAGAGCTATGCTCACACAACAGCAATACACATACCAACGTGGACAGGGACAAGCCCTTGAGGCCTGAACCTACACAAAAGTGCAGGCAACTAAGGGCAGCTGAGCATGGGCAAAGCAGTCTTCTCCTGGGAAGAACACAATCAGTTAGCCAATATAAATGGTCAGCCCTAAAAACATACATACACATAACATTTTACAGGCTGAGCAGGTTATATTTAGGAATATATATTACATATATATGTGTGTGTGTGTGTGTGTGTGTGTATGTAACAATAACAAAAGGCCTTTAATTTCAAAGAGGAGGGTTATATGGATGGGTTTAAAGGGTGAAATGAAAAAGAGAAAATTATGTGATTATATTATAATCTCAAAAAATAATTAAAACTCAATAATACACATTCAGGAAAACTCAAATGGTTTTCCCTAACACATACATTAATCACACCACTATGATTAAATGACTTCTACAGTTTGGATGTGTTTCCCTTAGAGGCTTGGTCCCAACCCTCTGTGGTGCTCCCTCTCCCCCCCCATCTCATGAGCTCATGAGATCTGACCTCATGCTGTCTGGTTCCTATTTATTTATTTATTTTTCATTTCTATTTTTTAAATTGGATATTTTATTTATATTTCAGATGTGATCCTCTTTTCCCATTTCCCTCCCACCCAGGGACCCCCTATCCAATCCCTCCTCCTCCTGCTTCTATGAAGATGTGCCCCCACCCTCCCACCCACTCCCACCTCCCCGCCCTCAAATTCCTCCACACTAGGGCATCATGCCTTTTGGGACCAAGGACTTCCTCTCCCACCTATGCCCAACAAGGCCATTCTCCCCTAAATATACAGCTGGGGCCATGGGTCCCTCCCTATGTGTTCCCAGGCTGGTGGTTTAGACCCTGGGAGCTCTGGTTGGTTGGTATTGTTGCTCTCCCCATGGGGCCACAAACCCTTTCAGTTCCTTCAGTCTTTCTCTAACTCCTCCATTGGGAACCCCATGATCAGTGGATGCTGTGAGCATCCACCTTTTTTATGTCAGGCTCTGGCAGATCTCCAAGGAGACAGCTATATCAGGCTCCTGTCAGCATGAACTTCCTGGCATTCACATCAGCATCTACCTTTGGTGACTGCACATGGGATGGATACCCAGATGGGACAGTCTCCAGACAACCTATCCTTCAGTTTCTGTCCCACACTTTGTCTCCATATTTGCTCCCATGAGTATTTTGTTACTCCTTCTAAGACAGATAGAAGCACCCACACTTTTGTCTTCCTTCATCATGAGTTTCATGTGGTCTGTGAGTTGTATCTTGAGTATTGTGAGCTTTTGGGCTAATATCCAATTATCGGTGAGTGCATGCCATATGTGTTCTTTTGTGATTGGGTTACCTCACTCAGGATGGTATTTTCTAGTTCCATCCATTTGCCTTAGAATTTCTTGAATTCATTGTTTTTAATAGTTGAGTAATATTTCAATGTGTAAATAGGAATGAATTCACACACCTATGGTCACTTGATCTTTGACAAAGGAGCTAAAACTGTCCAGTAGAAAAAGGACAGCATTTTCAATAAATGGTGCTGGTTCAACTGGAGGACAACATGTAGAAGAATGCAAATCGATCCATTCTTATCTCCTTGTACAAAGCTCAAGTCTAAGTGGATAAAGGACCTCCACATAAAACCAGATACACTGAAACTAATAGAAGAGAAGGTGGGGAAGACCATTGAATACTTGGGCACAGGGGAAAAGTTCCTGAACAGATCACCAATGGCTTATGCTCTAAGATCAAAAATTGACAAATGGGACCTCATAAAATTGCAAAGCTTATATAAGGCAAAGGACACTGTCAATAGGACAAAACGGCAACCAACAGATTGGGAAAAGATCTTTACCAATTCCACATCTGATAGAGGGTTAATATCCAATATATACAAAGAACTCAAGAAATTAGACTCCAGACAACCAAATAACCCTATCAAAAATGGGGTATAGAGCTAAACAAAGAATTCTCAACTGAGGACACTCGAATGGCCGAGAAGCACCTAAAGAAATGTTCAGCATCCTTAGTCATCAGGGAAATGCAAATGAGATTCCACTTCACACCAGTCAGAATTGCTAAGATCAAAAACTCAGGTGATAGCAGATGCTGGCAAGGATGTGGAGAAAGAGGAACACTCCTCCACTTTTGGTGGGATTGCAAGATGGTGCAACAACTCTGGAAATCAGTCAGGTTTCTCAGAAAATTGGACATAGCATTGCCTGAGGACCCAGCTATACCACTCCTGGGCATATACCCAGAAGATGCTCCAACATTTAACAAGGACATATGCTCCACGATGTTCATAGCAGCCTTATTTATAATACCCAGAAGCTGGAAAGAACTCAGATGTCCTTCAACAAAGGAATGGATACAGAAAATGTGGCAGTCTTGAAAAGTGGCTGGGCTCTGATCTCCCAAGGGACTAACCCACTGATGGATTACAACCGAGAGGACTACTAGAAAGCAATGGAAACTGGGAGACTGGCTCTTTATGAATAAACAGGTTGCTAGGACCATGCCTTAAAAGGATCTGTCTTGTCCCTAGCCTCTTCTGTCATTCTCTGCCTCCTGATTGTCATGAGATAAGCAACTTCCCTCTGTGATACTCTTCTACCAATAGGTTTCTGCCTTGCCATAGCTAGTCATGAACTGAATCCTGGAGACAAAACAAACCTTTCTGCTCCTAAATTGTTATCTCAGATATTGTCACAGCAGCTAAAAGGTAACTTGCATGAAGCTCCCAACAGATGTGACAGGTTAGGCTTTGAAAAGGACTGTAAGTTGAAATATAATAAGCTCTGTTTCTTCATACACATGACATACAGAAGAGGTACATAATGGTAACAATCCAATGTCAAACCAGTGGAACCATCACCAACTTAAAGTTAGGACAAATTCTCCCTACATGCTCTAGAGAGCAGTAGCTAGCTGCAGTCACATCTCACATAGAACACAGAAGATAGGTGGTCTCAAGCCCCATTCTCAATTCTACTGCCCAATGTTTTACATGCTTAAGATTCCAGGTAAAATTTTCTATGGAAAACAATTGTTTTAACTGCTAAGAAGCTAGAAAACAAGTTACTAGGGAATACAAAGCCTTTTAGAGGATATAGGATACAGAGCAAAGCAGCATAGTCACCAAGAAGAAGGCATTTTCTTTAACACGATTAATACTCCTAATTTGATTTTTAAAAAGATTTATAATATATGTACATGTGCATGCCTGGAGCATACATGTACGCCATATATTGAATAGTATCCAATGAGGGCAGGAGATGGTACAAGATTGCCTGACGTGCTCTAGCAAACCAGGCTTTCAGCTCCATTCATTCTTTCTTAACTCAAAGTTCAAAGGCTTCTGATTTTCAGAGATCTTTGAGAAAGGAACCAAATACTTCATGGGATTGATTCACAGATCTGTTTGATTATTATCTTAAAAGATACAATTTTTTTTTCTGGTACAAACTTATTTTTATCTAAAGATATGCAGTAAAATTCACATTTAAAAAATTAGCCTCAAGAGTTCAAAAGACAAGTTTTCTTTATCATAGAAACCCAAGCTTGGAGACAAACAAGGTGCAAAACACATGAGGTAGGCAGACCTAGGAGACAGACAGGTCCTCTGCTTTCCTTTTGAAAGCTGGAGCAGCAGTCACTGCCTAGTGACGTCTTAACAGCTGGAAAGAGTTCTTGTTGAGCTCAGAGTTCTACCTGACTGTAGTGTCTCTCTGTACTTTTTCTAAAGAAACATACCATCTTTCTTTGTAGACAGAGGAGCTGTACAATGTAGGTGCCAAATTTTTCTAAAATGATGCTCTCCCCTACCTGCAATTGCACAAAAATCCTAGAAATCATATTTTCAATACATTTTACAGGGTAAAGATATTATTTGTTGATTTCTCTGATTAGCTGAATAACTACTTATTAAACTATATGCAACAGAAACCTTGACATTTTCAATTAATCTGATAAAATTATATGTGTATGTGTATATGTGCATTTTTTCTTGGTGGGGGACAATATTGGTCACACACACACACACACACACACACAGGGAGAGAGAGAGAGAGAGAGAGAGAGAGAGAGAGAGAGAGAGAGAGAGAGAGA